AATTAACTAGTGTTAAGTTCATAATAAAACATTAATTAATTTAAAATTATTATTATAATTATTTTGTGAATTATATTAAAATCAGTTAATATACAAAATATACATTTTGTATATTAACTGATTCTTCCTTTCTGTATTCCTTTCCTTTCTGAACTGTATTCCTTTCTTTTTGAGTACCGGAGACTTGCAGAGATCTTTGAGGTCTCCAACTCCAAACTTGGCATCTATATGCCAGCTGTTTTTACGGGCCTTCTGAGATATGCCACTGCCAGATTCGACTTGGTACTGCCTGTTCGGAAATCGGACTTCCACCCGACCGAGTTGTATCCTATCGCTCTGGCCACTATACACGAGAGATACCCTTACGAGCAATGGCTGCAGGTTTTTACTGATGGATCCGCCACTTTTTCAACTGGTATAGCTGGAGCCGGTGCGTACTCCAAATATTTCAACCTTAGAGAACCTCTTGACACTTGGGCAGATAATTTTGATGGAAAAATGTTTGCAATCCTTATGGCTATTACAGCTATTGGTGAACCATCTGAACAAAACATTGTTATCTTTGTCGATTCTCAGGCTGCTATTCAGACCATTTCTGAATATAATTTATATCCCTCTGAACTTGAATTTAAGTGTAAACAACGCATTGACTCTCTTCTTTGTTCTGGAAGAGAGGTAGTCCTCCAGTGGATCCCAGGCCACTGTGGCATTTACGGAAATGAACGAGCTGACATGTTGGCTGGAGAGGCTTCAGCACTGCATCCATCTTCTCATCCAGTTTCCCTTAGAAATGCAAGGCGGTTTCTTAAGAGCAAATGCAGGCACAGAACAATATCTGCTCTTAGAGACTTAGCTGATGGAAAATCCTGGACTAGCCTTCTTGATGACCAGCAGCGCTCTCACCTTTCCCTCCTTCCCAGAGCTGAGGGAGTTGCTTGCCTTAGATTAATTACTGGACATGACTACTTGCAGGCCCATTTATTTAAAATTAACTTGGTCAATTCACCTCTTTTTGTGCTCTGTAACACTTCACCTATGACTGGGGAGCATTTATGTGATTGCCCCTCTCTTCTTGACATTCGTTCCTGTGATGACTTTTGTGCCCTCTCACCTTCTGGAGCTACTTCAGTGTTGTATTGAACTGCAAGACACCTTATGTCTGAGAAGACGATGGCAGGCGTAATTTAAAAATAAATATATATCTATGCATGAAGTAATAACAATAAGCACAAAGGTAATTGTTTAAGTAAATAGAACTGTAGTTAAAAATAAGTGAACATATTGCTAAAATAAGTGCAACTGTAACTATTACAAAAACGATTTTCCGTTTTGACATTTTCAAAATTATTCACAGCTTCAAAAGAATTACTTTAGATTTTGTTCCTTGTAGTGAAGCCATATTATTTACCTCTTTTATTATGGTTGATCACGATGTTTCTAGTTTATTGGATGAATTTAAGTTTTGACAAAGATCTTTTGGATTTACTGTTTGTTGTGGGTATAAAAAATATATCTTCAAAATTGTATATACACTAACAGAGATGCCAACTTGCTCCAGACAGCAAATATATATATATTTTAAAGTGGCAGTTTATCAATTGTGATTCTTGGTTTAATAAATTCAATTTAGTAGATTTTTATCCACATCTATTTCGACATAATTCGTAGGCTTATGAAATTCACCACTTTATAGTACTTATGTCATGCTTTACCTTTTAAAAAGCAAGCAAAAATAGTAAAATATGTGCAAAATTTACTTTGTAGTTATTTACCGTTTTTTAAATTATTTTGGCATGTCTGGGGCAGTTGGCATCTCTGCACTAATAGTCATTTTCAATTGTGTATTTGACAATATTCCAGACAATTTTCAGCAGGAATGTTCTTAAAATCGTTAAGGTGAATCATTTCTGATCCTGAGTTTTCATTAAGGTCTCCATGATAAAATGTGATGCAGTTTTTCAAAGATCTTTCATCTACAGTTTTGAAAATTAAAACTGAAATTAGACAGTAATTTTTTACAGTTTAGAGATCAAGTTAGAAATGCAGTGCAGAATTTATCAATAATTAATAATTATATGGAAAATTCCATACAAATTGCTTTGAACAGTTATAACTTATTTATGTAATTTACTACAATGAATTGCTAAGTAATTGTTCAAACAAGAATTGATTTATTACCATTTTTCTCTACATCTCTATGTGATAAATATAATTTTCTAAGAAAACCAGATTTCATTATGAATGAAATTTTCACATTTTTGTCATAAAATGCCACATTAGGGATGCCTGTTACAGGTTTTTATAAAATCTATTATTTTTTATTAACAGCTTTCTTCGCCATCCATGTTAGCCCCTGTCTCCGATCCCCCTTAATCCAACATATTTAATTGTTTTTCTATTTATTGAAACACAAAACGGAGTTGGCTTTGAAATGTGCTTCACATTTATCTGCGGCGTATCTACCACTATAAATATTGAATACCAATTCACAAGTATTGATTCTGTCTTGAGGTATCTTTTTATAGATGAAGGTTGGCATAGAAGATAAAATCCCACAATGGTGACCTGCGGACATGATATGAACTTGTGGCGTAACTACCACTACAAATATTAAATTCCAAATCAATAGTATATAAGACATGTTAACTTGAATCCATCACGAGGTACCTTTTGATAGATGAAGGTTGGCATAGTCTATAATTAATTCCCCACATTGGTGACCTACGGACGTGATAAGAAATTGTCAATATTGATGGATGAATCCACATTAAACAGTTGATTTGCTTTAAAAAATATACNAAAAATGAAGAAGAAATCCGGTGAAGTAAATAAAGTCTCCCGGTTAATTAATAATGATGAGCGAAATGCTAGAAGAAAAAAAATAATAGCGAAAAGCTATAAAAAAAATGATGGGAAAAAATAGCAAAATAATAATAATAATAATAACGAGCGAAATGCTTGGAAGGAAAAAATAAAAATATATAATGAGCAAAAATTGAAGTTAATAAACAGCATGAATCAACTAGTGGAATTCTTTCATCGAAT